GGAGCACTACATTTTATCAGGTTCAAAGTTTTTTGGGGGGGGAGTATGTGTGTTTTTGGTTTTCTTTTACTATGAATCAATTATAAATGACAAAATGACAGTTCTATGGCAAATGAAGAGCCTGAAAATAGAAAACTCTTGTAATTTTTTTTTGCAAGATTCTGCTACCTTTACATTGCACAATTATTTATTTTTTTACTCTGCAGCTGGCTGTACTGACAAACATTGCAACTTTTACCGAGTAAAGTACTAGCCCACAAGAAAAAAGGGGGGGCAGAATTTTGCCCTTTTTATTTATTAAATCAGTTTCACTGTTTAAAATTCATAAAAGAGAACTGGTTCTTGGCATAGAAGAGAGAAAAAGAGAGAAAGACACCCTTCCCTTATTTCCAATAACAGTGTCGCTCCACTGCTGAGTATAGTAACAAAATCTTGGGCATTATAGATTGACTTTCAAGAAATGAGTAATGCAGAATCCTAAATGTAACTTTCTCTCTCTCACTCCCCCAATGCTCTCTCTCTCAGCCTATGCTGAACTTCTTTGTTCCTGGAAAGCTACTCGAAACCCACGGAATGAGCTCTCTATCTGCTACAGCTTCCTCCAAGGACTACTACATATAAAAGCTAATAACAATGTAGCATTTCTTCAAGCAGAAAAAACGTCTTTGCTTCCTGTGAAAAAGGACTCTAAGTATGTGTAACGTTGTCTGGTGACTCTTTCCATAATAAAATGTTTATGAATGAACTATGAACCTTAGAAAGAATGAGAGAATTGTTATGGAAACATTGACACTGCATTACTTGTAGAGATATTTTTAGGGTGTGTTAATAGTATAAATACCCATGAAAAGAAATAAATGGAAATGGAAATGCTACTTTTCATTGTGTACATGAAACACTCAAAACATTTTGTTCTGGGTGTCTTCAACTCCATGCTGACAATGCCTGAGGTGCTATGGTCCCAAACCTACCCATTTTCACCCTAGTATTGCCACAGTTAATTTCCAGGCCTAAGCACAGAGTAGTTCATATGGTAAGCCTGATTTTTCTAGATTGGAAATGGATATAGGGAATATAAGCTGTAAACTACCCAACAATCTCATCCTTTTTCCAGCATGTCCACATCACCATCTCCTTTATATTAAGGTCAATCTAGCTGGTGGAGAAAGGCAATGAATTGGACACAAAGTATGTGTCTACACTGTACCATAGGTCAAAATAAGATACACAATTTGAGCTATGCAAATTGCGTATCTTATTTCGATGTTATTTCAGAATAGCTTATTTCAAAATTTGACATCTACACAGCGCTTATGTCAAAATAAATTGTTATTCCAAAATGACCCTTATTCCTCGTGGAATGAGGTTTATAGGTATATTGGAACAGTGAGCCTGTTATATTTTGAAATAGTGGACATGCTCAAAAGACACAGAATAGCTATTTCAGGATATTGGAGGTATCCCAAAATAGCTCTGCAGTGTAGACATAGCCAATGAGTAGAATTATTATGATCATTCATTGGGCCTGGTACCAAAGCATCCCCTTAGTGTTTTACCCTTGGAACCTCAGAATTTTTCCTAAAGAACCTGAAAGTGGGGAAATAGAAATGAAAATTGGTAGGGGGAATTTATCTACATTCTCCACTTCTGAACCCAGCATTCCTTGCTGCAATGATCTATCAGCTTCATAGAGGAGATCACCTTTGTCTGGGATGGCCTGTGTGGATTCCAGGCACTTCACACAGCACATAAAATTAATGAAGCATATCCCTCCAAGAACTTGACTTGTCATGCAGCAGAGAGTCCTAGAAGTATTGAAGGAAATCCACACCACTTGAGATTGTGATCAATGCCCTTTCTGATAGTTAACGACACGTGGGACAGTGAAGAATAACCAGCACTTGGTGAATACTAATAAACACAATCAATAAAAGTTAATTATAGATATGCATTTGCTTGAGTCTTGGAACCTTGAGTTTTAAAAGCTTCTAGTCATATGGGACATATATGTCTCTGCAAGAGAAGCTGTTTGTTTAATGCGAGGCCTTTGGTAGCATTTCACCCCCGTGTTTTAAATTTGATGCTGTGGGCATATGGTTCTTAAATATTATTTCTTAACATTATTTACTTGACATGTTAATTATATTGTATCTTAATTCAGTGCAGTTTCTTAAGTGCCCTAGCAGACTACACAGGAGTGATTTATAAATCAAATAGCAGTAAAGTAACCTTTGCATTTTTATAATGCCTTTCATGTGGGGAGAATTAAGCATATAACAGGCAGTAACAAACTATGACTTACAGCACCTCTGTGAGGTAAGTATGAGAAACAGGTCACTTTACCCATGCCCTAAATGCATATGTATCCGAGGTGGAATGTGCCACCTCTTTAATAGCACTTACACACCAGTTTAAGACAGGAAGTAAAGAGTGTAATATAGTCACTTGATAATGTTGGAGGTGTTTAGATTGGAGTTAAAATGGGACCAGGATACTAGAAGCAATATCATCACAAGAGCTTTAATGAAAGCAAGCAGGAATCCAATGCTGTTCTTTTCTCTAGGAAGTGACATCTTTGAGTTCAGTGTCCTCTGACTGACTTAGGTCCCTTGAGGTCCTTGAGGAGTTGGGCTTTGGATCCTCTTTGGGGTTCCCAACTACACTGTTTCATTATGAATCTACAGGAATGTGGTGTAGAAGCTGCTGAGGAAGGCTTAAAAAGGATAGACCATGTGCATTTGGATGCCTTGCCCAGATGCTTGTGTGTAAAAAGGCAGCAGTGGCTGCTGTTCTCCTGCTTGTGCCTCAGAAGGGGGTATATTTGTCTTAAAAGACTTTTGATGAGCCCTGAAGGGAGCTGTATATTTGTTTATTCCCTTGCAGGAAAAAGACTCATTGCACAATTGATTGCAAACTCGTCCTCACCCTCCAGCAGTTTGTGTGTGTGTTTTTTCTCAGTGCAGCTGTCTGGGGTGGGAGAGAGACATTTTCTGGTGACAGTCCTTGTTCAAATCCCTGAGCCTAGTCATTTGTTCTCAGAAATAAGTCAGAGGGGAGAAATGGCACCGAATGAATTTCCAACACGTAGGTGCCTTTCAACCTGTTAAACCCAAGCCAAATGTTTCAGGTAAGTGTTAGGTCCAACAGGTGGAGCAGAGAGTGGTTTTTCACTCATTCCAGAAATATACCAATCTCTCTTCCTTAGGGACTTTGTAACACAGGACAGCTTCATCTTTGATTCCAGTCTCCTGGAATAATTAACAATATTCAGTGCAATGCAATATCTCAATTTTTTTCCTAAAAAAATGTGCACAAGGCATCAGGCTAGCTATAAACGAAATCTTAAGGCCAGAGCCTCAGTGATCACTAAAGACCTTTTGTAGCCTTGAGATATTAAATTAGCCCATATTGGGCAGCTGGGGAATCTACAGCTCTCATAAAGATGGCATAGATGGATTTATTTCATCTGCTCTCTCTTGCCTTCAGCTGAGGAGTGTGTGTTAGAGGTGAGGGTAAAGTGAGTTGATAGCAGGAGCAGAGCCAGAGCACTGCGTGCTCTTACAATATGGGACTGGTAGAAGGGCCCTATTTGGCCCAGGAGCAGAGGGAGGAGAAAGGTGACTTAGAACTACTCTTCCCTCTGCTCTGTCAGCTGTACTTGGCATGAGTTCATGCGGCTGAGAAGTCAGCCTTCAGACTTACAATGAAGTAGAACTCCCAAAGAAGTATTATGATCTGCTCTGTAGAAAGAAGGTTGCTGCTGTCTTTGCCTTCATTTATAAGTTTTAAGAGCTTCATATGACTGATCCCAGTTTCATATTTTCTAGCAAATTAAATGAGTGAACAGCTTATGAATTCTCTGGCATTAAAAGTTACAAATACACAGCAATGATAAAAAAAGCAGTAAAGAATCTTAGAAATAATTACATTATCTATCTTTTGCTGCAGATCTGCAACCATAAGCTGCCAGTTTTTCTGAATGTAAACTAAATTGCTTGGGCTCCTGGAGAAAGTGCCCTTTCAATATGGCATGTGTGGAAGTGATCAGGAAAAATGGCATGCTTCCAAAGTGAGAGACATAGACTGCTCTCAGATGCTTGCAAGATCAGTGAAGTGAAACTTTGATGTGAAAGATTCGATGGTCCCATCTCTCTCTTGTTGTCATAGGAACCGATGTATCAATCCTATCCTGTTAGCAGCAAGAACATCAGGCTGAAGCTTTGCCCCTGTTCTGTTTTCTTTCATACACTTCCTTGCTCTGGTTATTGAGAAAGAAACCATATACTTGATTAAAAATATAATTTGTCCTGTAGCCACACCTATTGGCACACACAAATTACAATGTAAATAGCTTCGCTATCTATGATCAGGAGGGGCAAAGAAGAAAGAAGCTTTGTTTGGAGAGTTACTGCCAGCGGAGTTTGAGGTTGCTTTCCCCCTCTTCACGAGACTGAATCCTTCTCAGTAGCTGCCAGCTACTGAAATACAAAGAGGGAAATTTGAAAGTCTTCCTCTAATGACTCTCCAGCAGCAGCAGCAGGGTTTAGCACAAAGACATGGATTGTATGGATGGAGCATCTTCCAGGGTGAAGAGCAGCACTCACAACAGGAGTTGGTACCGCACAATTGATATTGACAGGCTGGGAGCAAAGACAGCTACTGAAGTCATCACACAGGAAAAGCATGTGAGAAAGCAAGACTAAAGGAGAAGAGGGAAAAGATGATGAAGAGAGAGAGAGATACACTGAGAGAGGTAAATGAGACAGACAGGGAAGAAGAATTAAAATGAGCATGAGGGAGGGATCCTGAAAACAAGTAGTGGAAAGTCAGTGCTGATCTGTCAGACAGAAGGGCTGCAGTGGGATATCCACAAAGCACACATTGGGTGCAGTGTTCATCACTCAATTCCCTCAACTATTAGGCTTTCTCACTCAGGGATTTTCCAATAGAGAGATTCTGCCTCCACCCCATCATCTCCCCGCTCCTCTCCCTTCACTCACCTGTCCACAGCAATTGCTGTCATGGAGTAGATGCTGGCGAAGACTGCAGTGATGGGAAAGAAGTTGTGGAAGCGGCAGTAAGCCTCCCCAAAGTACCATTCGTTGTGCAGGGCATAGATGAAGTTGATGAGGGTGTTGAAAGCAGCCATAGAGGCATCTGAGAAGGCCAGGTTCACAAGGAAATAGTTAGTCACTGTCCTCATACGCTTGTGAGCCAAGATGATCCAGATGACAATCAGGTTGCCAAAGACAGCCACGGCCACCACCCCACCATATGCCAGAGACCACAGGGCAATGCGCCAGGAGGGCTGCACAAATTGGTTGGAGAAGTTAGCCGCTGAGGATGCTATTGGGGAGGAGATGTTACCAGCCTGCCCCCAGTTGCCTCCTGATCCAGCAAAGCTCATGTTCCAGTCGCTGCTCTCATTCGCATGCCAGCTGGATGCAGGTAGAGCAGTCATCTTGAGTGTCCTGCCCTCGTCCCGGCAATGTTAAAGTCTCCCCCACTTCTTGCCCTCCCAAAAAAGAAAGTTGATCAGCAAAGCAGCCTAGAGGAAGAGAGAGAGGGATTGGAGCAGGCTCAAGCAATGCCACATGGGGTAGTGCTGCTTAAACCTTAAAGGATGTCACCCCAGCTGGACCTGGAGAGCTGCTGCTTGTCAGTAGTACACGCTGTCCCCTTCCCTCTCTGAAGCCAGCTCTTTCTCCGCTTTGCTAAAGGAGAAGGGGATCAGGAGCTGGGATGTCTTTTATAGGGTCGTGTGTTCCCCGGCGTCATCAAGGGAGCAGGGCGATGACACCTTTTTCTCTCTGTTCTCCCTCCTCCTCTCCCCAGCTTTCATTCACTGTGAGCAGTAGCCACTTTCAGTAGCTGCGAAGGAAGGCACAAGGAGAATGAATCCTTTCTCTCTCCCCCTCATCCCCCCCTTCACCTCCCTATTCACCCTTTCGTGCTCATGCCCGCTGCTCATAATACTCCTTTCTCCAGCTTCCTGAGCTCTGTGTTATTGGAATCAGTGGAACATTCTGAATCTCAGATGCTAATAAAAACACGCTCTTTGTCACTTGCATTCTGCATTCTATCAGAACTTTTTCTGACACATGCTGGGCATGCTGCTAAGGGCAGCAGCCAGTCTGCCTGGCAGTATTGCTGAATATCAGATACATCCCTGATTTGTATTAACACATTCTTTAAAGCCATTTATTAGGACCCTCTGCTTATACTCCTTTTTTTTCCCTCCTCTATCAAGTTTTCATTTGACCACATGCTGCTTATTCCTGCAGTTGCCATAGATCTAAAGCAATGACATTTTTTTTCATGGGATAAATGAATGATAATCTGGTTGCTTTCCACTCGCACTTCTTAACATGTAATAGCCAATTCTGTCCGGACACACTTATAAAATTGTAAATTCATTAATCTTTCCTCAGAGTATAATCTTTGAATCTTATAAAACCACCAGTTTATTCAGCAACTGTTGATTTCAGTCGATAACATGCTATAGCCTTTATGTAGCATTGACAGTAAAGTAAGATTTTCCTAAACCTGGGTAAATCAACAGGATTTCATTTTCTTTGTACAGAAAAAAGATCCAGTCATCCAGGTTTATAATGATTTTTTATGTTGTACAAACCCTACCTGCTCCAAATTCACTGGGCAGAGGTGAACATTTTTAGTTTACATGACCTTCTTGCAACATTTTATTATTTTGAGCAATCATTCATTGCAATCTTCATTGATCAATGCCAGTTCCTAACTAGATGACATAAAGCAGATGCATTTATAACCTGCTATAATGCCTGAAACTACACATTTCTTCATTCTTTAGCTGCAACTGGCATAGAGATTATGATTCGTATAGATGTTGATTGGAAGTCATTGTTAAACCCATCAAACACGAACTATCTGAAGCATTGCACTCTGAAGGCAGAGGGTGCATTTCAGTGCCATTCTACTTCATACTTCAACAATTGGGAATTAATACTTGCATTCAGGATTTATTTTCTTTGTGCTGTCTCTTGGCTGATGTATTTACTCAGAGTATTGCAGTTAATTGCACTGTTCTGATTCTATTCCAGTGCATGGGAAGAAAATATGTTCAACCTTCTGGGACACAGTGCAAATCGTGGGATGACATTGGAGGACAGTCCACAATGGGGTGAATCATCCTGAGTCCTCATTGCAAATGTGAGGTTGCCAGTGTGTGACTGTTACCCATAGAGAATTGAGCCTGGATATGTCTACACTAGCCCCCTAGTTCGAAGTCTTTATGGGTATGTCTACACTAGCCCCCTTCATTCTTTCCTTTTCAAGGCCACTTGAAATCCTCTAATTTATAGCCAGATTCTGTCACCCTTACCCATGCTAATAGTTCTTCATAATGGGCTCAATGTGGCTTTGCCACAAGCCCCAAATAAGAGGCAGAGCACTGTTCCAGGAGCAAATCAGAAGCTAGATTATGACTCAGAGCACCGATTTGGTTCCCTCTTTGCTCTCATCAGGAAGTATTCAACTCCATCCTTATATACTGAGCACATTGGCTCAACTCTACCAGCTGCTGCTTGGAGAAGGGCCAAGCCAGAGTCCCTTAACCCCTTCATCCCTGTCTGTTGGCTGCCTGGCCAACAGTTTAGAAGGGAGTGATGCTGCTTATAGATATAACTCTTCACAAAGTGCTGCTACCCCCAGTCTGGATAGTCAGGGCAGGGCTAGCCTAAATCTCATGCTATGCAAGTAGTGCCATTGGTAAACTTAATCCTTACATTTTAAGTTCTTCTTGGTAAGGGACTTGATGCCATCTATGTATGTGAAACTTCTCACACACCATCAGCGCAAGGATCACCAGACACTTCAGTTCCAGCATGTGGGAACAACAGGTCTTTGAACTGAGGAAGTGTTCTGCCTTCTGTGTGTTAACTCTTACATACATTGCTTTGCTTTCCCTTGTGGACAAATGGGAAAGCTGAGGCTGTCTTTGGCTCCTGGCAGTTATAATTTACATATTCCTCAGGAGTTCCTTAATGTTCCCCACATTGGACAATTTGGACTCCCCTCTTACCGCACCTCCCAAAACTGATATATTTGCAGTATGTTAGCAGATACCTGAAAGGGGAGATGAGTGTGAGAATGCCTGTCCAATGGGAGAATTGCACACCCTAATCCGAACAACAGGGATCTGAGACTGGGTAGCCAGATCAAGTGTGCAAGGGTTTGGAATCTAGTCTCTTTGGGGATTTTCTGAGAGAGTTTACTTGAGATGCTAGGGTACCATTTTATATCCTTCTGTGCTCGGAGCTTCCCAAACCCCGAGCTTTAAAATCTTGAGGGAAGTGAACTTGACCCTATGGGACCAGCAATGGACTCGAGTAGAACTGGTGCTGTTGCAGTCAATGGACTGAAGTAGACAGGTGAGTAAAAATGTCTCCTAACTCCTAATTAGCCACCACCAGAGCTAATCAGGTGAATGCATAAGGATCAAGGGCACATTTTCACTTGCAGCACTGGAAATTGATGTTTTGGCATTTAATTAAGTGGGTCTAGAATAGACTCCATAAATAGAATGCTGGTGTCTGTATTCCTTGCACTCTTGAGGAGTAAGGGAAACCAATGGGAGTGTTTGCTCCCATCGGTCTCCTCCTGCAGGGAGGATGCTGCCAACTTTGGCTTAAGGTAAGCCGACTCCAACTATGTATTCTACATAGCTGGAGTTGCATACCTTAAGCTGACCTCCCTGGTCTAGTGTAGACCTGGTCTGAGTTCTTGGCCCCGATGAGCAGAACAATTAATGACATTAGCTGTCATTAGCTGTACTCCTTCTACGCACTCTTATTTTATGTAAACATTTGGTTATTGTGTGTTCCCCAAATTAAAAGGTATTTCTACTTTCAGATTCCCAAGCCTTCCTATGCATTTGTGAATGGGAAAGAAACACCTGGTGGATCAAGATTAAGTTTTGTTGCATATGCTGCTGGATCATCCTTTAGGATTTCATCATAGCTGCCTTACACATCTTGTAGTTCCTTTTAAAAAGCTCCAGCAGAAACCTATCACGCTGAGCATGCAGTGGAAGCTTATTTATCCTGACCTTTTTGTGGGGGAAAAAAAGTCTTACAAGTTATTCTGGTACTTTGGGAGGTCTGGGCATTCGATTTTACCTTCCACAATTCCCCTGGGCACCAAAAGCCCTTTTGAAATCTCTCAGAGAGCTTGTACCAGGAAAAGTGGGGTTATATGGCTAGACTGCAACTGTATGGCTGTATAGAAAAATAGCACCCAACACAGTATAGCTACATACAGTGCTGCACTATTGCTATTCCCCTTAGGGCTCTCCCACCTGATAAGTTGTTTGTGATTCCATTTCCTAACGCGGACATTGTTTTACAATCTCATCCCTTTCTTTCATCTAACTCACTGGGTAAGCTGGGGGGAAGGGCTTCAAGGAATGAACCTTTTAGTGGCTGCTTGGATACTTCAAAAGTTTTCCTCAGTTGGGTTGCTTCTTGACTGCTTTGAAATTCACTGTTTATCAATATTTCATTCCAACAGCAGCAGAATTGCCATCACTCTGAAATTCTTAGCATTGTCCCATTTATTATGGCAGCTTGCTTACATTACTCTAGGATCATGAGCCTGGCTGACTACTTTCAGTTATGAACAAATAGTTTTATTGCTTCTTATTTATGGAGCTGTTTTCGTAAAACAGTTGGAAATCTGTTTGGATGCCGACTCCTGGACGTTGTTCACATACGTTAAAATTTTGTTCTCTCTGCCAAGCCTTAGTAACTTGGCAGGATGTGGGGGTATCTCCACAAGGGAGTGTGTGGGAGTGAGTGCAGGAGGAGGTTGAGGGGAAGGAAGGTGACAGGAATCATTCTGTCTAAACCACAGAGCAACAGCATAGCTTTTCAACAGATGTTACTTTGTCTAATTGCTAGAATACCTGCACCAGCTCCAGTGTCTACTCTGTACAGAAGAGTGTGGACCCAGGGACCATGTAGTGACAGATCATCTGGTTCCAGCCCTACTTTGTCCCCAGTACCTCTTCTTTGTCGCACAGGGATTTAAGTTCCCTATGTGCCTTCTCCCCCTCCCCACACCTATTTCCCTCCTAGTTATGCAGCAGAAGCTCACTATCTTTCCTGGAAGACTTCCTGCACACTGGAGGTGGAAGAAGTTGTGTTTCACTCCAGAATCAAAGAAACTACAGAATGTTGTCAGACAGCAGTTATGTTTGCTTAGTGCCCAGTAAGGAAGGACATGCTGCTGTAACAAGACCAATTTCATTTCTGCAGGTTTTATAGTATTTGTATACAAATGAAGTCAAACCTGTTAACATTTTTGGCTATGGCTAAAGTAGACAGTCTTAATATGATTCAGGAAACACACTAAGACAGTAGGGTTTTCATATGAAGATGTGATAAGATGCTTTTGTATACTCTATAAATTTTAGCACTTGCCTTGTCTATAGCATCCTTCTGTCCTAACCTTTATCATAGATACATAAGATTGGGGCAATAGATAAAGGAACAAATGCAGCAAATAGTCTGAGAGAGCCATTCCTGTTGTACATAACACTAATATATTTTGCTTTGAACTACACTTCTGTTTTTCTAGTTTATGCATTTATTGAACATAATCCATTTCAAATTACTAGGACTTTCATTCAGAGTTCTCAAATATAGATCTGCATCATGAGCTTAATCCAAAGCCAGCTGAAGGTTTTTCCTGTGGGAATCTTTCCCCTGACTGCAGTGGACTTTGGATCAGGTCCTAAAACAAGTAGGTATGTCCGCACAGCAAGTAGCAGCCCACGGCTGTGAGTCTCAGAGCTTATATTCACAGATTTGGGGTCCTGTGATGCTATAATGCTAA